ATTGGGCACGGCGAGTGCAAGGAGGAGGTTAGGGGAGGAGTGCGATGTAGCTGGGGTTATTGGATGTTGGACAGGGATGTTGAAGTCTCCAAGGGATGATGTTGGGTAGCTCAGAAGAGAGAAAGAAGGGTAGCCAAGCGGGAGAAGTCATCAAGGAAGCGGGAATACGAGTCCAGGAGGCCAGGAGCTTACAGCAATTCCTCAGGGGGGTTGGAGAGAATAGTCGGATGCAGGTGGGCCTCAAAGGAGGAGAAGGATAGAGAGGGGGGTTTGGGAGGACTCAAGAAGGTGCTCAGCGGTGACAGGAGCAAACCAACCCCACAACCTTTTTGACCGTTGGGTCTGGGTGTGAGTGGGTCCAGATGAGAAACCTCCAATAGGAGAGTGCTGCAGGGGAGGTACAGTCAGTGGCTTTGGATCCACCAGGTTTCCGTGATCACAAGGAGGTTGAGGGAGAGGGAGGACAAGAGGTAGTGGATGGCGGTGAGCTTGTTGCAAACCGATCGGGCGTTCAGGAGTGCATATGAAAACGGGGGGGGGGGGTGTGGTTTTGGGGAGCAAAGGGAGGACAACGTACTAGGTTTGAGGGGGGGGTTGCGGCAGGACGTGGAAGTGGGAGGGTGCCTTGTGGGTGAGCGAGGTGGTGTGGAGGGCCAGGGTTCGGGGAGATGTCCCCCAGCGGTTAGGAGAAGAAGAAGGGTGAGAATGGTGGGCATGGGAGCGGGATGTGCAAGAGCGTGTTTGTAAGTCTACCAGTGGAGGTGTTCGGATCAGCGGGAGATGGAGTGGACGTTTAGGAGGAGGTGGTTGAGTGCCGTAGAGGGGTAGGAGGGAAGCAGTGAGGGGCGTAATGTACAGTTGTTTGGGAGGAGCAGAGGGATTTAGAGAAGAGATTTTGGAACGCAGGAGAGGGGTATGAGGAGGAGGAGTGGAGGTTGGACCTTTTTAGGGAGTCGGTAAACGGAGTGGCGGACAGGTATGGTGGGAAGCTTGGTTGCTGATGGTCTAGCGTGCAGTGGTGTATCTCATTGCTGTGTCTTCGGTAGCTAGAGTTCTCTGTGCCTAGGAACAGGATGGGTAGAGTTCAGGTTAGATAGGTTGTAGCCAAAGGTAGTCAGGCTGCGAGTACCAGTTTGTGAAAGTCTCGGTTTGAGGGATGAAGTTTGGTTTGCAGAGATGAAGGGTGGTCGTCAGCAGCGGAGGTTTGGAGATGGGGTGTACAGAAGGGTTGTGAGGAGGTGGGCTTCAGATGTGGGTGATGGCGTAGTAGGGCTGAGGGATAGCAGAACCTGCAGTCGGGTCTTCTCCCGCACTGTATTCCTGGGGGGTCATCAGGTGGGTTTCAGGTCTGTGCAGGGTTGCGCTTTGGTGGGCGATGGTAGGCTTCACCAGGTCAAGGTCATCATCAGATCTCAGCGGTTTTCGGGCAGGGTTGCGTCATGGAGGCGATTGGCTGGGCCTCACCAGGCTGGGATTCATCTGGCATGGGCTCAGTGGTGTCTGAAGCGCTCGCTTCAGGTCACTGTTACGGTTGTGGATGGGGGTGTGTGGGTGGGAGCTCGCCTTTAGGCCAGGAGCAGGCTCCCATGAATGCTGCTGTCAGGAATGGGACTGGCCAGCAATGGATGGGGACTCACCTGCCTTTTGATCTGCAGTACTCAGGGCTGGGACCAGCGGGTGCTCCCAGCAATCAGAGACTCAACCTTTCAGCCAGCTAACACCTGGAATGATGATACTGGTGTATTTAAGGGATGGCCAGACTTGCAGACTCTGCCTTGGTGTTGTGTTTGTCCTGGGCCCTGTATCTGTCCTGCATCCTGTTTCTGTTCCTTTGCTACCTGTTCTGATCCCTGGCTTGTGCCCTGACCATCCCTCTGCCTGACCCTCTGTACTACGCTGCTTGCTACCTGTTCTGATCCCTGGCTTGTGACCCTGACCATCCCTCTGCCTGACCCTCTTGTACTACGCTGCTTGCTACCTGCTGAACCTGGCCTGTGACCCCGACCTTTCTCCGCTTTGCTCCCCCTGTACCTACCTGCCCAATTGATATTGACTCGGCCTGCCTGACGACGCTTGCTTGTATGTTACTGTTATCTGTGGGTGGTTGGTTGGGTTTGTTTTGCACTGTATTATGTTTTAGTATTGCACTGCGTTTATGTTTGTATTGTTAGTGTTAATAAATTACATTGTTAATCACATATCTGAAGTCTGCGTTTCCCTGCTTCAGTCACACACCTCTGGTCATACCTGGGAGCCTTGACATTACACAAGGCCAATCCTGACCAGAAAGTGGCTGCACAGGGAAGCCATCTTGGCGGCTTGTTGATGGGAAGGATGGATCTGGTTGAGGTTGTGTATTTATCTCTGCTAGTGTTTGATGACAGGGGAGTATGCTTATCAGGACTCTGAAAGGAGTATTACCCGGGATATGAACTGCTAGAATGTATACGGCTCGCTCATGTTCTAGTAGATCTGGGCACAGAGTTCTCTGAGGTGCAGCCTTTGATTGGTGGTTTGTGCAGGTTGCTTTCATCTGGGTTACCCCCGAATGCAGGGATGAATTTTTGCCACCATTTAGTGCAGACCAGGTAGAGTCCCTGGTGTGGTTATTAGAGGATGATGTGGGTTACTTTCTGGAGCGTTATTCCACAATGTTCACCACAGACACTAAGTGATTGTATAAACGCAGTGCAGGTCATTGACCAGGACTAGGCTTTGTGTAAGCTCAGCTTTGGTTCAACCACATACTGCAGACATGGACAGACTTGTTGCACCCAGCCTCAGTCAGCTTACAAAAACCCCAGTCCTGCTTCTAACTCTACTCCTGTATTCCCAACAGCTCTCCAGTTACAGCCCAGTAAGTTATTACTTGGCTATCTACCGCATGTCAGTACACCTGTTCCCACTCGCTGCACCTATCCTGCCTTTAACCCTGGTAAAAATAGCCCCCGCTGTAGCAACTGCTCCCTCTCCTGTTCCATCCTCCAGTTCTTCTCTGTCTCCAGCTGCTCCATTCGTTTGCAGACCTGCGTTTACTTGCAGTGCTCCAGTAGTTAAAACCAGAAAAAAATGCGAAAAATTCTTTCCAACCAATACCATCCTGCCAGTATCCAAACCGGTGAACCTGCCTTCCGTGGTTCAGCCTGAAGCCTCTACTCAGCCTGAAGCCTTATCAGCCTGATGCCTGTACTCGGCCTGATGCCTGTACGCAGCCATGAAGCTCTCTCTTCGGCCTGATGCTCTCTTCGGATAAGCTTGCCTCTCTTCGGCCTGATGCCTCTACTCGGCCTGATGCCATACTCGGCCTGATGCCTCTTACTCGGCTCTGAAGCCTCTACGCGGCCTGAAGCCTCTACTCGGCCTGATAGCCTACTACTCGGCCTGATGCCTCTACTCGGCCTGATGCCTCTACTCGGCCTGAAGCTCTCTACTCGGCCTGAAGGCCTCTACTCGGCCTGATGCCTCTAATCTCGGCCTGAAGCCTCTACTCGGCCTGAAGCCTCTACTCGGCCCGGACGCCGGCATTCAAGCCTGATGCCTCTACCCAGCATGATGAACTGATCCAGCCTGACGATCCTATTAGGCCAGTTGAATCCTCGATGCCCTGCTGAATGTGTAGACTAGATGATCCGGGTTTACCTGGTCCGGTTGAACCCGCTGTCGTGCCAATTGACTCAGAGCCCGCTGTCGTACCTGGTGGACTCGGTGCCACTGCCTTGCCAGATGACGCGGTGCCCGCTGGGCGAGCCAAATGACCTGATGCCTGGTGACCCATGTGCCCGCTGTCATACCTGGTGACCCGATGGCTCCGCTGTGAGCCAGACGATCAATGCCTGGTTGACCGGTTTGCCCACTGCCTTGCCAGATGACGCGGGTGCCCGCTGTCAAGCCAAATGACCTGATGCCTGGTGACCCAGTGCCCGCTGTCATACATGGTGATCCCAATGTCCTGCTGTCGAGCCAGACGGTCATACCTGATTGACCGGAGAGCCACTGCCTTGCCAGATGACGCGGTGCCCGCTGTTGTCGAGCCAAAAAATGACCTGATGCCTGGTGACCCGATGCCCGACTGTCCCGTTATGCCAGACGATTCAGATGTCCTGCCCCAGTGCCCGCGGTCATGCCAGTTGACTCGGAACCCACTGCCTTGCCAGATGACGCGGGTGCTTGCTTGTCAAGCCAAATGACCTGATGCCTGGTGACGATGCCCGCTGTTCCAGTCAGACGATCCAATGTCTGACCCAGAGTGACCCGCGTCATACCAGTTGACTCGGAGCCCACTGCCTTGCCAGATGACGCGGTGCCGCTAGGTCGAGCCAAATGACCTGATGCCTGGTGATCCGATGCCCAGCTGTCCGGTCAGACGATCCAATGTCTGACCCAGTGCCCGCGGTCATACCAGTTGACTTGGAGCCCACTGCTTGCCAGATGGGTCACGGTGCCCGCTGTCGAGCCAAAATGACCTGATGCCTGTGACCCGATGCCTGCTGTCCAGCCAGGACGATCCAATGTCTGACCTAGTGCCAGCGGTCATGCCGAGTTGACTCGGAGCCCACTGTCGGGGCCTGGGTGACTCGGTGCCCGCTGCTCTCCGCCTGGGGGCCACGAGACCTGTCGCTCCGCCTGGGGGTCCGCGGCCCGCCGCTCCACCTGGGGGTCCGGCGCCCGCCGCCCCGCACTGGGGGTGGGGGCCCTTGTAGACCTGTCGCTCCGCCTGAGGGCCCGAGACCTGTCGCTCCACCTGGGGGTCCGGCGCCTGTCGCCCCTGCCTGGGGGCCCGATGCCTGTCGCCCGCCTGGGGGCCCGATGCCTGCCGCCCCGCCTTGGGCCTGATGCCTGTCGCATCCACCTGGGGGATCCGGCGCCCGCCGCTCCGCCTGAGGGCACGAGACCTGTCGCTCCACCCGGGGGTCCGGCGCCCAGCCGCTCCGCCTGAGGGGCCCGAGGCCTGTAGTTCCGCCTGGGGGTTTCCGGCGCCCGCCGCCCCGCCTGGGGGCCACGATGCCTGTCGCCCCGCCTGGGGGCCCGATGCCTGTCGCCCCGCCTGGGGTCCGATGCCTGTCGCCCCGCCTGGGGGCCCGAGCCTGTCGCTCCATCTGGGGGTCCGGCACCCGCCGCTCCGCCTGGGGGCCCGATGCCTGTCGCCCCGCCCGGGGGCCCGATGCCTGTCGCCCCGCCCGGGGGCCCGATGCCTGTCGCCCGCCGGGGGCCCGAGGCCTGTCGCCCCGCCCGGGGGCCCGGTGCCTGCCCGTACTCCGCCCGGTGGCCCGCTGCCTGCCGCTTCGCCCGGTAGCCCGATGTGCCTCTGCCCGGGGTCCTGCCCGATGTGCCTCTGCCCGGAGAGTCCTGCCCGATGTGCCTCTGCCCGGAGTCCTGCCGATGTGCCTCTGCCCGGAGTCCCAGCCCGATGTGCCTTCTGCCCGGTGTGCCTCTGCCCGGAGTCCAGCCCGATGTGCCTCTGCCCGGAGTCCAGCCCGATGTGCCTCTGCCCGGAGTCCAGCCCGATGTGCCTCTGCCCGGAGTCCAGCCCGATGTGCCTCTGCCCGGAGTCCAGCCCGATGTGCCTCTGCCCGGAGTCCAGCCCGATGTGCCTCTGCCCGGAGTCCCGAGCCCGATGTGCCTCTGCCCGGAGTCCAGCCCGATGTGCCTCTGCCCGGAGAGTCCAGCCCGATGTGCCTCTGCCCGGAGTCCAGCCCGATGTGCCTCTGCCCGGAGTCCAGCCGATGTGCCTCTGCCCGGTGTGGCTCTGCCCGGTGTGCCTCTGCCCGGAGTCCAGCCCGATGTGCCTCTGCCCGGTGTAACCGCTGCCCGGAGTCCTGCCCGGTGTGCCAGTCTTGATTATCCCGCCAGTTACCAGACCGGGCGGTGGAACATTTTTTCCCAGCTAGGACTGTTTGGAGCGTCCTGAGGCCGCTCCTTGAGGGGGGGTTCTGTCAGGAATGGACTGGCCAGCAATGGTGGGACTCACCTGCCTTTTGATCTGCAGTACCAGGGTCTGGCCAGCGGGTGCTCCCAGCAATCAGAGACTCAACCTTTCAAGCCAGCTAACACCTGGAACTGATGATACTGGTGTATTTAAGGGATGGCCAGACTTGCAGACTCTGCCTTGGTGTTGTGTTTGTCCTGGGCCCTGTATCTGTCCTGCATCCTGTTTCTGTTCCTTTGCTACCTGTTCTGATCCCTGGCTTGTGACCTGACCATCCCTCTGCCTGACCCTCTGTACTACGCTGCTTGCTACCTGCTGAACCTGGCCTGTGACCCCCGACCATTCTCCGTTTTCTCCCCCTGTACCTACCTGCCCAATTGATATTGACTCGGCCTGCCTGACGACGCTTGCTTGTATGTACTGTTATCTGTGGGTGGTTGGTTGGGTTTGTTTGCACTGTATTATGTTTAGTATTGCACTGCGTTTAGATTTGTATTGTTAGTGTTAATAAATTACATTGTTAATCACATATCTGAAGTCTGCGTTTCCCTGCTTCAGTCCACACACTCTGGTCATACCTGGGAGCCTTGACAGCTGCATTGTTAGGTATTGTTGTGCCTCGCTCCCTGCAGCCACTGTGCATACCCTGAGCTCCTCCAGAGGTAGTACTCTGCATAACAGGTGCACAATGTAATACTTTGTTCACGCATGGCATTAACCAATTGGTGATACTTCTTTTCTCATGTTTGCTTTACCATTGTGTCATTATGCCAACCCCTCAAAAGACCAGCATTCCCAGAGAAGGTATAGGAGTCGCCTGTGGGATGACTACTGTAGCCAGCTATTGCCTATTGGAGTATAGGACATCCTTTTATATTTGTTTGTGCTCTCAAATTTCTCAGTCCAAAAAAAAAAAGAAGGCTTTATGATGTCAATAATTCCCTTGGGTGGTTTGTGTACATTGCAGAATATTATTGTAATTCTGTTGCAGTTTCCTTCCTTTCACCATGTCCTGCTTTTTGGCAGGGCAAGGTTTGGTTTGGTTCAATAAACACCTGGTAAATCTTAGGGCTGTGCTTGGAAGCTGCAGTATCATCCTCCCTCTAGCAGTAGTTAACCTTTTAAGGTTTGTTACAAAGCAAGCTATTTTCTACTGCATTCAATTATTTTTTTGAGCTGCTTTGTTAAGTGGCAGGCAAAACTCTGTGGAAGGATTATCTCTTCTGAAAATGAGCAGTCTCAGAGCTTTCCCAAAGCAAAACATCCCTCTTCAGGAGCTCTTCAAAAAAGAGAATGCGGATGAACATGACTGTATGAATCTTGGTTTGTTCTAGCAACCAGAGATGAGGATTACCGTATTTTTCGCTCCATAAGACGCACTTTTTTCCCCCCAAAAAAGGGGGGAAAATGTCAGTGCGTCTTTATGGAGCGAATATAAAGAGGCCGGTCCGGTATTTCTGCCGCCACCATGTCAGAATACCGGGCCGGCTACTAAGCTGTTCTCTCCTGCAGGGCCTTACCTGTTCCTCGCTCCAGCGCTGCACAGTCTTCCCGCGCTGACTTCTGGACAGACCGGGTGCCCACTGCGCATGTGCTGCGCTTTGTGAATGATCCGGTGTACTTCTGGGACACATGGGGGGGGGGGACAGGTCCCAGAAAGCACACGGACCATTCACAAAGCGCAGCGCTCCTCACGCACATGCGCAGTGGGACACCCGGCTGTCACAGAAGCCGGCCCGGGAAGAAGAGAGAAGGACAACTTCCTCGCGGAAGTGGGAGGCGGGTACCTGTCAAATTCAGGTAACCCGCTGCCCCCTCCCTCCCCAAAGGTCCGCAGTCTATGGTTCATTACCCTTTGCACTGTCTGCCTAGTCTCTGGTCATCCCTGCACTGTCTGCAGTCTCTGGTCATCCCCTGCACTGTCTGCAGTCTCTGGTCATCATCTCCTGCACTGTGTCCGCAGTCTCTGGTCATCCCCTGCACTGTGTCCGCAGTCTCTGGTCATCCCCTGCACTGTGTCGCAGTCTCTGGTCATCCCTGCACTGTGGTCCGCAGTCTTGTGTCATCTTGCAGCTGTTACATCTACTGGTCATCTCCCTGCACTGTCCGCAGTCTCTGGTCATCCCCTGCACTGTTGTCCGCAGTCTCTGGTCATCTCCTGCACTGTGTCCGCAGTCTCTGGTCATCTCCCTGCACTGTGTCCGCAGTCTCTGGGGTCATCCCCTGCACTAGTGTCCGCAGTCTCTGGTCATCTCCTGCACTGTGTCTGCAGCTACTGGTCATCCTGCCTGTGTCAGTCTCTGGTCATCTCCTGCAACTGTCCGCAGTCTCTGGTCATCATGTCCTTTGCCCAACTGTGTCCGCAGTCTACTGGTCATCTCCTGCACTGTGTCCGCAGTCTCTGGTCATCTCCTGACTGTGTCCGCAGTCTCTGGTCAATCTCCTGCACTGTGGTCCGCTGTCTCCGCTATATCTGCACTGTTCATGTCCGCAGTCTCTGCGGTAATCTCCTTGTACTGTCCGCAGTCTCCCAAAATCCCTGCACTGTCTGCAGTCGTCTGGTCATCTCCTGCACTGTGTCCGCAGTCTCTGGTCATCCCCTGCACTGTGGTCCGCAGTCTCTGGTCATCTCCTGCACTGTGTCCGCAGTCTAGCTGGTCATCTCCCTGCACGTTGTCCGCAGTCTCTGGTACACTCTCCTGCACTGCATGTCCGCAGTCTCTGGTTCATCTCGCTGCGCGTGTGCCTGATCTCAAGTCTCCTGGTGCATACCCACCATAGTCCGCAGTCTCTGAGAGGCTACCCTGCACCGTTGTCCATGCAGTCTCTGCATCTCTCATTCCTCAGTGACTGGTATGCGCCCCTAGCAGTCTCTGTCTGGTCATTCCCTCTGCACCGTGTCCGCAGTCTCTGGTCATCTCCTGCACTGTGTCCGCAGTCTGGTCTGGTCATCCCCTGCACTGTGTCCGCAGTCTCTGGTCATCCCTTGCACTGTCCAGTCCCGCAGTCTCTGGTCATCTCCCCTGCACTGTCTGTCCGCAGTCTTGCTGGTTCATCTCCCTGCACCAGTGTCCGCAGTCTCTTGTCAATCTCCCCTACTGCCCACTAGTTTCTCGTGGTCAGTCTCGCTTGTACTCAGTTCCGCTGCCACTGGTCGTCTACCTGTACTAGTGTCCACCAGTTCTGGTCATCAGCACTGTGTCAGCAGTCCATCTGGTTGTCCCCTGTACTTGTCCGCAGTTCTCGTGTCATACTATGTCTGTCCACTAGTGTCCCGTCAGTCTCTGCGTCCATAGTCCCCTGCACCATGTCGCCTCCGAACCCAGTCCCTGAGTTTCACGCGTGTCTCTGGTCCCGTCTCCTGCACTGCCCACTCCTCTGATCAACCTCCCCAGTCTCTGGTACATCGTCCCCTAGCACCTGCACCAGTGTGAGAGCCCGCAAGTCTCTGGTCATCCCTGCCACTGTGTTCCGACAGTCCTGGTGGTCCGCATCCCCGTGCCCACTGTTAGTCCCGCAGGTCTCATGCGGCATCTGTCCCCTGCACTCGTGGGTCAGTGGATCCAGTAACTGTGTACCGCAGTCTCTGGTCATCCCCTGCACTGTGTCTGTTCCATGATCTTGTCGATGCCCACTGCCTCTGCCCATGTCCGCAGTCTCTTGGTCATCTCCTGCACTGCATTGTCCGCAGTCTCTGGTCATCTCCTGCACTATATCCGCAGTCTCTGATCATCTCCTGTAATTGTGTCCGCAGTCTCAGGTACATTCCCTGCAACTGTTCCGCAGTCCTCTGAGTCATCTCCTGCACTTGTCCGCAGTCTCTGTCATCCTCCTGCACTGTGGTCCGCAGTCTCATTGGTCATCCTCCTGCACGGTTGGTCCGCAGTCTCTGG